GCAGGCACCAAACTGACTCCCCTCCCCACCACTCGGTCCCAGGACTCGGGCTTACTGGGTGGAGCCAGGTGGACGATGTAGCCGTTCCCCACGTAGAGGGCCCAGTGCTGGTATCCCAGCCTGAAGATCTCGATCAGGTCCCCGGGTTTGACTTCGTCCTGGAGAGAAAACACAGAGAGAGAAGTCACTCTTTCCAATCCCAGGCTGCCATCACAGGTGTCTGCTTCAACTCCCCCATGCAGCAGTCAACACCTCCTGAGGGACCCAGTCGACACCTCCTGAGAACTCATAGGGACCTGGTCAACAGCTCCCGCGTGACCCGGTCAACAGCTCCCGCGTGACCCGGTCAACAGCTCCCGTGTGACCCGGTCAACAGCTCCAGCGTGACCCGGTCAACAGCTCCAGCGTGACCCGATCAAGACCAGTAGTTCAAGTTCAATAACTAATAACTAAGAGATCTTAGAGAACTAAGGGATTTTGGGTTGACCAAAACCTGCTGTCCGGAATCCTAACGAGCCCCTCGTAAATTTGAACGCCACACCGCTCGGTTCGGCTGCTTGCCGGTGTGTCGCTTCTCCAAGCCGTCTGCAGAACCGCCCAGAAGACCCCTTCCCTCGCTCAGGGCCTTTACTCACCCAGAAGGCAGACATGCTGTCCGGCTGCGGGCGGGCGAATGGGCCTTGAGGGCTGGAGGCTGGAGTCGTCTGCTTGCTGTCCGCGCCTCTGCTGGGGTATTTATGGCCTCGCGGGAAGTTTCACTTTCGCGTTCCTGAGAGAGGGCGGACGCAGTGAGTCAGCAGCTCAGGTAGTGTCCCTGTGGGAATAGAATAGGAATAGAAAGAGAAGAGGGAGGGGCAGGAGAGGAGCATTCCGTGTGGGGCCCAGCTGGGACGTCCCGCGAGCGGCTGAGCCCGCCACTTCCTGGCAGGGTGCTGGCGCAAGTGGCCTGCAGCCTGTCAGCTGGCCAGACCCTGGATTCCCAAGGCACAGCCACCCTGAGCTGACCAGCACCCACAGCAGCGCAGCGCACCAGAGTGACCACACG